ATGTCACGAACCCGGGAAGTAACTTGTTGTAGTCCCTACCAGCCATTTTTGTAGGCAATAAACTGCCAGAATTTTAAAAGACGATATCTCCATTTGCATTGAACTTTCAGCTTTGTAACTTTGCAGATATTGTTTATGCTCAAACAGCAACATTACACACTAATTAACGTTAAAAAAGTAAAATCGCAATCAACCACCCTTTAATTTCTGATCTGAGAAATGCACCAAAGCGACTGAGAAAAACTGTATATGATATGGTAAACAGCAAAATAACTCGCGAAATAACTCGTTTAAACATTGACATATGTCACGGTAAATAATTACTTGCATCAACTATAATGAGCATGAAAGCAAGCCTAACGGTGACAAATAAACTATAAAATGGCGTAAATAAACTTATACATGGCGCTATTGCGCTAGATGCGTCTCACTCGCGGCATCAGACAACCAGTCGGCAGATTTAAATAAAGAAGGACAAAATACAGTTACTTTATATGCACACTGAAGCGCTCAGAAGTGTCTTCCTTCTCATCATGGTAAGCATGGTCATCATGTTTTTTTTAGTTTTGTTGCTTGTGTTCTTTTATCAGGTTTGTTACTTTACTCATAGGTCTTTGGGGTCTTTTTGACCCGCAAATGACGTTCGCAAAAAAAAAAAAAATATATAGTTATCTTTGTCCAATTGGCATGAGACTTTGTATGGTGGTCAACACTTTCTATATCTACAAATAAAAAAAATTGGAATGATATCTTGTTTTTATGTTAGTGTGAAAAAAAGGCAACAAAATGTAATTTTGCAACAAAATAATATATATTTTTTAATCAAATGTAATTTTACTCTGTTTATTGTTTGCTCCACATTTGTGCAGTTTTTGGAGGATTTATGATATTTTTTTAATTTATATAAATAAATAAATACATATTTTTTCAAATAGGTTTTTATACGTTTTCTAATTCACCTTATAAAAGACCCACATTTTTAACTTTCAATCATGGGGATAACATGGATAATTTGACATGGTTTAGTGTAAGATTTTTGCCCACCGTTTTAAAAGTAAAACATTATTATTTTTACCAGTAGATGGCTGCAGAGCTCCACTATTTGCTATTTGACTAAATTTTTTCAGTTGGATTCATAATGACATATTATGAAATCACAATTATAACAATAAAAATGATTTTTTTCAAAGTTTAGCATTTTTTTGTACTGAAATAAAAATCTGCTTTTCATTAATGTTACATTATGATTAGAATCAAACCTGAACAAGATGTTACAAAGAGAAAAGTTGGAATCTTTCGTTTTTCATTTATTTCAATCATCTGTTTTTCATATAATTCTACAAATTTAATCTACGCTTCAGTTACTGTAAGAGAACAGAATTGAACAGTTATATTACATATTGAGTACCAATACACGACATGAACATCAGAATGCATCCTTTCATCTCTCTCACTCTCTCTCTCACTCTCTCTATGAGTGTGTGTGTGTAGAAAAATTTGTAGAATTATATGAAAAACGATCAGGTGCCAGTGAACTCTGAGGTTTTTGCTGAAATTATCTGGTATTTTGATGATAAGAAAGTCAATATTCACACAATTTACAGCGGGTTAAAAATTAATACAATCCTGAAATGTGTTAATGCTGAATGTTCAAAAGCGAGGAAAAAATTTATTACTGTCTCAGAAACTAGGTTATTAAGCTTGATGGTGTTTGGAATTGGTAAAATGTGCTTGGAAAAAAATATGATCAGAATATCAACTTGCATAATAATTATGCATGCACTGTATTTTTCCTCTTCTGCTGTCGAGGTAATGCAAGGAATGTTGTGATTGGTTGTCAAGGCAGCCAATCAGAATTTAGCAGCCTCGGTCTCTGATTGGCTGGAATTATGGCACATTGTAACGCTGGGTTGTGTTGAGCACGCGAGCTGTTGGCATTTAGCGAGCACTGAGGGGGGCATCAGGTGAGCAAGCTAGTGAAACGTTGCACGGCGCAAAAGAGAAGGTCTGCACACATCCAAAAACGTATTTTAAATGCAAAATTGATTTCCGTGCGCTCGAAAGACTTTTTTCTTTGCGAAACGAACATTTTCTCCACAAAACTCAGATCGCGCGCGTGCAAAATGCACTTTTGTGCGCTCAAAATATGATCTTTCGCACGCAGAATTGTGGCAGAAATGTAAGCCCATAATAAACAAGGTTAAGCTTTTGAAAACTTCAAAAACTTTGTAATTAGTCTTTTAGGTTACAGCCAACTTGGAATGGTTGGCTTAGTCAGTATTCTGTATTCATCAGGGTCCCATCTCAACAGTGCACATCACATTTTAGTCTTGTTTCGGTCTTCAACACAAAGTGAAAAATACCTTCAATGATTTCAAGACCAATAGTCAACGAAGATTTTATGAAGTCACTGAAGTCTCACTGCTACAAAACCGAGTTGGGATTCTACCAGTTCTTCCGAAGAAAATGACCATGCTGAGTATATTCTAATCTATTCCAGAGATGCTGCAAATTCTCCATCACCCCTGGACAAAATTTTGGACATGATAAGTAATGATCAGTGTGTTGTTTTGTATACTTACTACTCACCTTGCATAACAAAGTGCATTATTGATGTAAACAACAATATTTCATATGACCTTTCAAACTGGAAAAACAGACAGACAAGTGGGATTAAAGCTTTTGTTTTCCAAGAGATCTGGTCCAATGACTCGACTGGTGTGGCAAAGAATCAGGAAGAGCAGTTTACAAAGATTAATAATGTAGTGCCTCTCTATCGATGTGTAAAGAATAATAATCAAATGCAATGTTATAAGTGTGGAAATGCTGGCAGTGAGACATTGCTTTCATATTGTGTCTTATGTACTTTATGTCAATAATCATACTGTAATCATACAATAATGTTATTGTGTGTTAATGAATGATTTTCACATCACTGTATTATCTTGACCCTAAATAAAACTTATGTTGTCCAGGCAGTGGTGGTGCAAGATTTAAATATATACTGTATTTAAATAAAGTATAAAGAAATGGAATGGTGAAGGACTATATATTTATATATATTTGCAAATAATATTTTAAAATATGCACACACCCACTCTCATTTGTATGCCCATTACTGTATGTATAATCCTGATTTAACCTTGATGCTGCTTATATAAACCAAAGGGGAAAAAAACAGCTTCAGTGAAATGTGTGCTTTTCAGTTAAACTGAAGGTAAATAAAGAGCTATAGAGAAATGTTAATCTTTGTGCTTAGTCTCAAAGTCACATTCAGTGGCCGGTTACATAAACTGCTTCTAGTCTTAAAAGTTGGTCAATCTATTTGTTTTGTTTTTCAAGGCTCGTCATTACTTTTTAAAGTCAGATTGGTCTATTTCCAATCTGAAAAGTAAGACGGATTAACACTTGGTTAACAGTTAGTTGGTCAAAATAGTTATCAGACACAGTCTTAATATACTATGTTTATGCAACTGACCCCACTGGTCTAGTGTGAAAATATTCTGGAACTCGCCTATGAATTCACTTACTGTCCACCTCAACAATTAATAAAAATGCATTTAGCCAATTTTCCATGTGAGCCATGCACTAATTTGATTATTTGTTTATGGTTATGTACAATACTGTCAATTCACAGATTCTATCTGGACCTGGTTATCAGTTATCTTAGAAGTGAAAAGCACAAATTTCCACCCACTCTAGTTAAACACTAATCGAATTTGTAAATTATAAACCAGTTGGGTTTTTATATGTGCATATCCATCAGCATCAGCATATCAGAAGAGAAACAAGAACTCTTCAGATCTAAAAATATAAGCATCTTCTTCCTCATAATTCAAGTAGTCACAATGGTAAGTTTCACTTCAATGAGTAATCTTTCTTTTCTATTCTATTTTTAAACACGCTGGTCCTTCAGATCATCCCTGCATGAATTTAACTCAAGTTTTGTGCTGAAATGAATGATGTTTTCACTTTAGGCAATGGCATCATTGAAGTGTCTCATTGTCCTCTGCATGCTTCATCTGTTTGTTGAAGGCACTGAGGGAGTGAATCCCGCTGTTCTTGCTAGAATTATCCAGTATTTTGATAACAAGTAAGTCCTTTGTACAGCTTTTAGTCAAATTAATTTAAATCAACCTATTTAGAATTGAATTAGTAAAATGCATGTTCAAATTGTTGAGTTATGCTGATTGTAAAAAGGCACAAGTAACAAGGCAAATACAATATTTCTTGAAATTTGTGATAAACTTGTCTTCCAGTGTTCAGCCAACGACCATGCCTGATGCTCAGTATGCAATAGCAATTATTGTCCCTCCGGCGCAGTGTACAGATGAACAATCTGATATCCAGACTGTGTTCAGCAGGGAAGAGGCAGAACATGTGAGAAATCTTCTCAATAACAGAGAGAATTGCATACTCTGCACACAATCAGAAAATGTCATCGCTGCACGGCCAAATGGAATGACAAAAGAACATTCTGAGCATATTCTGCTCTATCCGCTTGGTAATTCTCCCATGGACACACTTCTAGCGCAGGCAGATCAGAATAGCTGTGTAGTTTTCTATTCTTACAACTCACCTTGTGTGACAAAATGCATTCTGAGTGATGACAATATTTTACCAGGCCTTACAAACTGGAAAAATAAAAGGGAGGGAATGAACGTTTTTGTCTTTAATAAAATTTGGCAGAAGGACGCCTGGAGGAGGGATATGGCTAAAGATCTCCTAAAGATTCATGAGCGACTGCCTCTTTATCGGTGTACGAGAAGAAATGTGATGGAATGTCAGAATTGTATAAACGGAAACATTGTGATTCCTTTCTGTCTGCCTGAAAGGAGATCAGTACTTTTGTACTTCCAGAAAATGTTTTTGTCAATGATCAAAAGTTGGCATGTTAATGAATGATTTGCACCTCATATTTTTTATTTATTTTTTTGCCCAGCATACATTGGGCTATGAAATCAGAATTACTCACCAAACACACACTTATTTGAATTATTGTTCTTGAACACCTGTTAAATGCCTAATAAAAAATAAATAAAAAATTATATGTGTCCTTTGTCAAATGGCATAATATTTATTACAAATGTGTGTAGACTTTGCAGACATAACATTAAACTCTGCTCATGGATAGCTAGTTTACTTATCAAGTGCTTCAAACAAAACTCTTAACAAAACATTTTTTTTTTTTTTTTGCATTTTACAGGTTCTTT